TGGCTAAGGCACTTGACTGCTAACCAGAAGGCTGGCGGTTCAAACCCACCAGCCACTCCTCGGAAGGAAGGTTGGGCATTCCTACTTCCGTAGCGATACTGCCTCGGAAATCCAAGGAGGGGTCGCTATGAGTCAGGGCCGACTCGATGGCAAATAACAACAACAACAACATTCAGAAGGTAAAAAGAAAAAAACAGATGAGATTAATTTTAATAATATATTTTATTTTACTCAATTTATCTAAAATATTATCATTTCAATATGTTAATCAATACTAAAATGATTAGTGAGATATTTTATACTTAACACATCTCAATTTTACAGGTGCTCAAAAGCCACCTGTGACCAGTGGCTGCCATTTGGATGGTACAGGTAGAAATTAGAAATAATATACAAAATTGAACATAAAGAGCATACAATAAAAACTATGTGAAAACTTAATGTGGAATCTCTGGTTTCTGTACCAGTGGATTTTAGCTATGTATGTTCTTTATGGTGAAGATGCTAGTGTGTGATGACTTTGAAGCAGCTTTTTGTCTACTTGGAATTACTCTCTGGAAGTTAGTGATCATGGGAAATTAATTAATATTAATATTATATAGTTATTAATATAAACATTAATACTTCCTAACATAAACGTGGTGAAAGAATCTTGAGATGGAATAATGGATCAACAATACTTGATCTGGAATTCAAGCTCTTGGTAGAAAAACATAACTTGACTCTACATGACATGAGGGTACTTGTAATTTATAATCTTAAATTATTCCACCTGAGATGACTTTTCATACTTTTTGCTGCAAAAATATTCATGTACTTGATTACAGAGTGCTATAATCAGTATATACATAATATTTTCTGAAACTTGAAGAATTCTGAATTCTAAAACACAATTGCATAGGAGTTTCAAATAAAGGATTATGGCCTTATAAATTCATACTAAATGCTATTAATACACCATTTAATTTACATTAATGATACAGGTGGGAAGTTACTCTTATTCTATACATGCAAGAGTATTTTGTTATCTGTCCAGAATTTTTAAGAATTTGTTTGCCATAGTTTTATTTGTGTATCTGATTTACATGCCAAACCACTGGAGGGGGTCCATTCTAAGCTGGTTCATACCTATTATTGGTTTGACATGAATATTTTTAAACTTTTCTTTTTTCTTAAATGCTAAAGAATTTTAGGTTTAATGATTTCAATTAAAAAACCTCTGTTTTGTGTTTTAGATCAAAGTGCTTATTTATTTATCTGTCAAAATTAATTCAATACATTTTTGCTCCCTAACTCTGACTTCATATTAGGACTGTTGAGAAACATACATTTTTAAAAGGTAAACATTAATACCAGGAAACAAATTCAATAATCAGGACTTTATAGTCCTTCCATACTTTAATATTGTATGTTTACATTTCTTTTTAAAATCTAGCTATTATATTTACTGCAGAAATGTTCAGTTAAAAAAGAATGAGAACTGGCTTCAATGGAGATAAAAATATAGTTTGTTACTTGATAAGGATATTACTAGAACTTTTGCTTTTTAGGAGTTGAAGGCTCTGACTGTTTCAATTAATTTTATTTATGAATTATTTTAAAAGTGTTAATTTAAACTAAGTATACAAATTAATTTCTCTAATACCATCCCTGAACTCCAGCAAATTTTTTGTATTTGGCAATCACCATAAGAGATTTATTTTATTCTTGTGAGATAGTGGATTTTTATATTCCCATTTTGTGAATTGTTTCACAAACTTGGAATTAGAATATTATGTATGTAAATTCTATCCTTTAGGTTAAATTTGGGACTCCTACTTTATTGGGGGGTGTGTGTGTGTGTGAAAAAATCATACACAATATCATGATTTGTGACCATACAAAATGCCCTGTACATACAGATGTACAGTATGTGATATAAATATTTCATGCAGGAGGATGCAGTTAGGAAAGAAAAGTATAAAAGAGACTCCTTAGGGGAATGATAGTGAAAGAAAATGTTGAGAAAAACTGGGTACTATATAAATAAAGAGGCAAGGTGTCTGTCAGCAATAGTTTTTATTTATATTTTTAGAAAGGAAACTCCAGGGAGTAAACAAATGTGCTGATGGTAGAATATTTCAGACACATTTCCCCAGGTCAAAGTGGTTCCTTCTGAGATTTTGCTACTATGTACACACTGCTTGGTAAACTTGGCAACTTCATAGCATATCAGAAGGAACTGGACTGCATCCTCTTCCTGTCTCTTCCCTTAGAGATGCTTTTCACTGTTCATACAGACCTGTTGTCAGAGGAAGATAAACTTTATCCTATACCAACCAGCCATTTTCTCCAGAAAAAAGAAATTTCTAGAAAAAAGCAATTTGTTATGTCTCCTGAATATATTTTCCTAATATTAATATGTCTTCCAATTAAACTTACAGTTAAGTTTATATTCCTGTTTTCACCAGTCAAAATATCTACAATTATAGTATATTTCCTAAGGAAAGCATTAAAATATCATAAGCCTGTAACTTGTTCAGCATGTTGATTTTCCTCGTAACTATTCACAGCCCTACAGAGATATGAATTTAACAAAACAAAAAATCTCATTTCTATAGCATTTATGTAAGATATTATTATTTGTGGGAAAAAGCAGCAGCTGGAAGTTGAAAGAGCTAGGTAAAGGTTTCAGATGCTGCCTATCCTCATGGACATACAGTTGAGAGTTGCGGTCCGGTTTACGGCTCATTATAATAAAAATCAACACTCTTCAAAGGAACATAGTAGAACCAGAGTCTCTACGACATATGATTTACAATATTCAGTATACTGTGAAAAATTATTAACATGTGAAGAAACAGGAAAATGTTATTCAAGGGGAAAAGTAGTCACTCTACATTGAATTTGAGATAATCCAGATACTGAGATTAAAAAAATGAACCTGAGATAATCGAGGTAGTGGAAAAAATAAAATTAAATACAAAGAATTGAAAAGTTCATAATCATGTTTAAGAGCTTAGAGAAAAATAAAGTCATAATAAATGAACAGCTGGAGAATCGCACACAGAGGTGTACATTATAAAAAAGAATCAAATGAAGATTCTAGGACTGAAAAATACAATAACTAAAATGAAAAATTTACTTAATAATTGTAATAGAAGATTAGAGAGAGCAGGAAAAAAAGAGGGATTGAACTTGAAGGTAGATCAATAAAAATGATCCAGTTTAAAGACTAAATAAAAACAGAACCCAAATAACCTATAGGACAGTATCAAGCTAACGTTGAATGTAATTGGAATCTCAAGAGAGGAGAGAGAATAAGGGAGAAAGTATAATTGAAGAAACAATGACTGAAAATTTCCCAAGTTTGATGACAAACTTAAAAAATATATTAAAAAAACCAAACCAAATTCACTGCCATGGAGTCGAGTCAGTTCTCATAGTGACCCCTCCTTGGATTTCCAAGGAATAGATTACTCAATCTTCCTTCTAAGGAGTGGCTAGTGGGTTTGAACCACCAGTCTTCTGTTTAGCAATCAAATGCTGTAGGCATATATAGCAAAAAAAAAAAAAAAAAGAGCTCATTAAACCCCAAAAAGGGTTAATAAAAGAAAATTACATCTTCAGCACGTTATAATCAGTTAAAAAGCATATATTTAGAGAGCATTCTTGACCCCTACCATATGTTCTGTGGCACTCTTTACTATTTTTCATAGCAGTTTACCAACCAAAAAACCAAACTCACTGCCATCGAGTGGAATCCAACTCATAGCGACCCCTCCTTGGTTTTCTGAGGTGGTATCACTACGGAAGTAGATTGCCCAGCCTTCCTTCCAAGGAGTGGCTGGTGGGTTTGAATCACCAGCCGTCTGGTTAGCAGTCAGATGCCTTAGGCACTACGCCACCAGAGCTCCCAGCAGTTTACGTGTGTTGTAATTTCTTGTTTAATTGCCTGGTTCCACTTCTGGAGTATAGTTCCTTGTGTGAAAACAATGTCTATGTTAATTTCAATTATATATCAGCACCTAGGCACATAACAACAACAACAGCACATAGCAGAGGTCAGCACTTTTGAATGCAGTAATGAGAAACAGACATAGTATGTATATGTAACTATAACCTCGTGTAAACTTTTTTTTTTTTCATATAACTTTGTGTGGTGCCCCTCTTAAAAATAATAGATCCTTATCTCATCATAGAGGAGCTCTGGTGGCATAGTGCCTAAGGCATTTGACTGCTAACCAGAAGGCTGGTGGTTCAAACCCACCAGCCACTCCTCTGGAGGAAAGTTGGGCAATCTTTGATAGTTATACCCGCTTGGACATCCAAGGAGGGGTCACTATGAGATGGATCTGACCTGACAGCAGTGAGTTTGATTTTTTTTTAATTTTTATTTCTCTCATAATACATATTTTTACAGAAGAAAAAAAATATCTATGTTTGTTCTTATATGTTTGTATGCTAATGGAGGCAAGTGTGGCAAATATTTATCAGGTAACATAATGACCTGGGGATGAGGATTTTATTTTTTCTTTCTTAATTTATCTTCATAGTGTGTCACTGGTTGCAGTAAACATATGTTACTTTTGTAGACATTCTCCTAAGACATGATTTTTGATGGCTTGCATTACTTTCCTTATGTGAAAGGAATAAAGCTTTGATTAACTATGGCCTTGAATTCCTGTGTTTCAGATAGTCAACGCCTGCAGTTGGATCTACAGAAAATGGAGCTCCTCGAAAGTAAGATGACTGAGGAACAACATTCTCTAAAAAATAAAATTAAGCAAATGACAACTGATCTAGAGACATACAATGATTTGCCAGCTTTGAAACTGTCAGGTGAAGAAAAGAAAAAGGTAAATACTAATAGAATCTTAGAAAATTACAATTAAAAGTGTTTCTTCTGGATCAAATTTAACGTATTTGTAGTATTTGGGATTTATTATTTTTAGTTCATTATTTAAGATATAAAAACCAAAAGCACACTCACTGCCGTCAAGTTGGATCCAACTCATAGTGACCCCTCCTGGGGTTTTTGAGGCTGTATCACTACAGAAGTAGATTGCCCAACCTTCCTTCCGAGGAGTGGATGGTGGGTTTAAACCACCAGCCTTCTGGTTAGCAGTCAAATGCCTTAGGCACTGTGCTACCAGAGCACCTATTTAATATATAAGATAAGAAAAATTAATAAAACCATTTACATGTATAATAGGGATTTAGAGTTACTTAAAATTTTAAGCAAAAGGCAGAAGTTGAAAAGGAACAAGCTACTACTAAAGAAACAGCTGCTGTCGAGCCCAGCTCATGGTGACCCCATGTGTATCAGAGTAGAACTGTGCTCCACAGAGTTTTCAATGAGTGATTTTTCAGAAGTAGATCACCAAGCCTTTTTTCCAAGGAGCTTGTGGCTGGACTTGAACCTCCAATCTTTTCGTTAGCAGCAAAGAGTATTAACCATTTGCACTCTAGGAACTCCAAGCTGCTACTACTTAGGATAGAGCATTTCACCAAATATAATATTTGTAAAGTACAGATTTGATTATGACATTTCCCTACTTAAAACTTGTCAGTGGCTTTTCAATGCTATTTATAATTTTAAATTCTATAATTTAAATTTAAATTCTATAATTTAAATTTGGTAGAATAGGAGCAGATATGACAGCATTAAGAGTAAATCTTTATATAGTTAATGTATTAACCTATAGTTAACATGTTGTTGTTGTTGTTGTTATGTGCCGTCGAGTCAAACCCGACTCATAGCTACCCCTCCTTGGGTTTCCGAGGCAGTATCACTACGGAAGTAGGATTGCCCAACCTTCCTTC